CCACACGGCCGCGTCATTCAGTCACGGACAGGGACGGACTGACAACTCATGGGGCCCCTGTGTCCTCGCCCACACACCCTTGTGAAAAAGCTTGTGAAAAAGCCAATGAAAGGTACCAGGGGCATCTCATGGGGCCCCCTACTGAGCCCGGGCCCTCAAGCAGTGCCCGAGTGCCTGAATGGTCAGACTTCAGACTTCCGCGAATGAATGAACTGCACGTCCCGAAAGTCTTAGCAGCAAGCAGATATTCTGACGGGTCGGCAGGAGACCGGCATGACGTCAGCGATCTACTGGTTCAATGCTTTCCAGGCTCCTTTGGACTGCAGATGAGTCATGGTTGCTAAGGACACGGCGGCCGCCTGCTTCTTAACAACCATGATTTTTACCATCACAAAATACCGTCATACTTCATACAATAGCTCATGCGGTATTTTAGTCGCTTTTTAAAGTGAATTGCAGAAAAAAAAAAATGTAAAAACGCTAAGAGGAATTCTACCACAAATTTCTGCGTCGTGAATTGAGCCGCAGCCCCTTACGCAGCTGAGAACAGAGGTCATGTGATCACTTATATATAAAAAAAAAAAGCACTTATACTACACACAGTATACAGTATATATAAAAATATTTTGCCGCCATTTCTATTTTAAACTGAATGGGAAGTTTTAGGGAAGGTGAGCGTCCCGCGTACTTCATGTGACGTTGCCTTTCGATTGCTCAGCTAGAGCTGAATATTGCGGATCAGAGCGCCGGTCTCAGGGTTAGCGATGGTCTCACCCTAGGAGCGCCTCGCCCACCTGCGCCCCATTCCTCCTCCATGCTGCCACACCGAGAAGAGGCGGCTGCAGGTCGGAGGGATTAATGGCGATCAGTGATTGCGGTTCGCACATTCCAGCTGCAGATCAGCCACTTCATACATGTGTCACGCTGGGCGGCCGTTCCCGGGTGACGAGGACAACGGATCAGCCACTTCATACATGTGTCACGCTGGGGCGGCCGTTCCCGGGTGACGAGGACAACGGATCGGCCACTTCATACATGTGTCACGCTGGGCGGCCGTTCCCGGGTGACGAGGACAACGGATCGGCCACTTCCATACATGTACATGTGTCACGCTGGGCGGCCGTTCCCGGGTGACGAGGACAACGGATCGGCCACTTCATACATGTGTCACGCTGAGCGGCCGTTCCCGGGTGACGAGGAAAACGGATCAGCCACGTCATACATGTGTCACGCCGGGCCGCGTTCTTATTGCCGATTACACAAACACAAAAATAGATCAAATCTGATGTACGGCTTTCTTAAAGGAGCTCTTGTCAGAAAAGTCATGCTTCATATAGACATGTGAGGGCGATAATCGCATCTCTACATGGATGTGAGTCTTTGACACACTGTGTGTGCCCCGATGTAAAGGGGAACCCAGACCCCGATGTAAAGGGGAACTCTGCAGACCCCGATGTAAAGGGGAACTCTGCGGACCCCGATGTGGGGAACTCTGCGGAAATGAAAAAAAGGAACTCTGCGGACCTTGATGTAAAGGGGAACTCCGGGCCCTGATGTAAAGGATAACTCTGCGGGCCCTGATGTAAAGGATAACTCTGCGGGCCCTGATGATCTGCGGCCCTGATGTAAAGGGGAACCTGCGGGCCCTAAAGGGAACTCTGCGGGCCCTGATGTAAAGGGGAACTCTGCGGGCCCTGATGTAAAGGGGAACTCTGCGGGCCCTGATGTAAAGGGGAACTCTGCGGTAAAGGGGAACCCTGATGTAAAAAATGGGGAACTCTGCGGACCTTGATGTAAAGGGGAACTCTGCGGGCCCTGATGTAAAGGGGAACTCTGCGGGCCCTGATGTAAAGGGGAACTCTGCGGGCCCTGATGTAAAGGGGCGGGCCCTGAAAAGGGGAACTCTCGGGCCCTGATGTAAAGGGGAACTCTGCGGGCCCTGATGTAAAGGGGAACTCTGCGGGCCCTGATGTAAAGGGGAACTCTGCGGGCCCTGATGTAAAGGGGAACTCTGCGGGCCCTGATGTAAAGGGGAACTCTGCGGGCCCTGATGTAAAGGGGAACTCTGCGGGCCCTGATGTAAAGGGGAACTCTGCGGGCCCTGATGTAAAGGGGAAACTCTGCGGGCCCTGATGTAAAGGGGAACTCTGCGGGCCCTGAACTGTAAAAGGGGAACTCTGGGGCCCTGATGTAAAGGGGAACTCTGGGGGCCCTGATGTAAAGGGGAACTCTGGGGCCCTGATGTAAAGGGGAGCGGGCCCTGATCTCTGGGCACTGTGTAAGGGGGGGCCCTGAACTCTGTGTAAGACTCTGGTCACTGACCAGAGTTGACTCTCAGAGTGTGCAGAGTGACTGACTACACTAGGGTAAAGGGGGTCACTGATGTAAGAGGGGAGTGAGGACACTGATATAAGGGGGGACCTCGGTACCAGTGTCCCCCCCTTCCCTTAGGGTCTCCTTCGCCCCTTACATCAGTGACCCCCAATAGAGTGAATGGCTGAGTCACACCCTGACCTTGCCTGCGGGATTTGGACCTCCTCCCCCTTGCAGATGCTTTCAAATCTACTGTGAAGGCCTCTCAAGCCACAGAGCCCAGACAGAACTCAACCGATTACCAATCGGCCAGCTCCAGAAGTGCGCATGTGCAGCGAGGAGCCGGCTGATGTCACTGCGCACCTGAACCATGGCCCACCCTCCGCCATCACTCGCCATTGCCGGAGCATTTTCAGACAGCTCACCCGGGAGTTCACCATGTTGGACCCTCAGGCTTTTCACTGGCCCACTATTCTCCCAGCTCCGCAGAAAAGGCCGAAACCAGGACCGAAAAATACCGACCCACCCAGGCGGTTCCTCTGCCAGCATGCTACCAAAAACATCAGAGAAAAGAAAGCCACCGGGTCACCATACCTGGGCCACCCATCCACCTGGGAAGGTAGGTTACAATGAGGATCAGTCTGTCCCCCATAACAGCTGGAAGAAACAACTGTAGATCCTCAGAGAGAGATGCTGGAACACAGACAAAGCCAGGGGCGGACTGACCATTCAGGCACTCGGCACTGACCGAGGTCAGTAGGGGGCCCCATGAGATGCTCTTGGTACCTTTCATAGGCTTTTTTGGGTGTGGTGTGAGTGTGGGCGAGGACACAGGGGCCCCATGATCCCCTATTGCCCAGGGGCCCCATGAGTTGTCAGTCCGCCCCTGGACAAAGCTGACATACATAAATACCGGGATCAGGGAAGTTCTAATCAATCCTTTCCCTGTAGGAGAGTTTCCAGCCCTTTCAGCCGGCAACCTTGGCATTGGCATCTTGTAGCCGGCTTACCCAATGTGCAAGGCCTTAGATTGTACGCTCCTCGGGGGCGGGACTGATGGGAATGTACAATATATAAAGTCCTGCGTAATTGACGGCGCTATATGAGTACCTGAAATAAAAAGTAATAAGCGTACATGTTTATTTGTCATTGTTTTACAAAATGCACATGTGCCGCTCACTTCTACCATAGATCCAACGCCACGCGTGCTGCTGCGGATAATCATGGCGGCGCGATGCTCTCCGATATTCAGGAGGAGATCCCGACTTACCTTTATTTGTATTTGCGGAGCGACATCCATCAACCAGCAGCTCAGGTGAGAAGGATCTGCTACTGACAGGTGGAGGAGACCATTGGACTCCTCGGGGGAGGGGGGGGGATGATTTCATTGGATCCAGTTCCAAGGCCGACTGAATATCTCTCAATGTTCTTGTAATAAAAGTCCGGAGACTCTGATAATAAAATCTAAAGGTTCTAACTGTGCGCTGGAAGGAGTCGAGTTTCTTCTTTTGTGTGAGTGAAGAATTCCCCCCCCCCCCTCCCCCCAGAGAAGAGATGGTCTGTCCCAGGTGAGCTACAAGCTTGCTCACAGTTGCTCGGGTTACCTAACGTGTAAGGTGTCAGTGACAGGTGAGCGATGGAGCTGCATGGCTGATTGTTAATGTCTGCTACCGAGAGATTTGGGGCTCATTCACACCTACGCACCTTTCCTCGTTTTCTGTGATCTCACCTTTCCTGAAAATTGCATGTTTTTCCCACGCCTTGCGCTTCAATGTAAACACGTATTATCACGCACACAAACACGTATTATCACGCACACAAACACGTATTATCACGCACACAAACACACAAACACACGTATTATCACGCACACGCACAAACACGCGCTATCACGCACGTTACAAAAACGCGCGCTATCACGCACACAAACGCGCGCTATCACGCACACAAACAGGCGCTATCACGCACACTAAACACACGCGTTATCACGCACACAATCACAGGCGCGTGTCACGCACACAAACACGCGCTATCACGCACACAAACAGGCGCTGTCACGCACACAAACACGCGCTATCACGCACACAAACAGGCGCTATCACGCACACAAAACGCGCGCTATCAAACAGGCGCTATCACGCACACAAACAGGCGCTATCACGCACACAAACAGGCGCTATCACGCACACAAACAGGCGCTATCACGCACACAAACGGCGCTGTCACGCACACAAACGGGCGCTATCACGCACACAAACAGGCGCTATCACGCACACAAACAGGCGCTGGTGCGCAAAGACGTATATTTTCATGGGTGATGTACATTGTGATGCGCTTTGAGCTCAATGGAAAATGTATCCGAGAAAACCGCAGAGCTATGTAAAGGCCATAAACATCTTACCGCCCACACGACGCATTTGTGCCGCAGCAAAGAGGGCGGGCTCTATCGCCGTACATATGTGTCAATGGACAGTTGAGGTTTCTGCGCTAAGAGCTCGCTCACTGCACGCTTCCAGCACAGAAATGAGCTTTCCTGGTGCCATCATGGCAACATACATGTCATAGAATGCTGCCCTGGATTGGCGCCAGGAAAGGATACAATGTTCCATTTTCTTCGCTCCGACATACAGTATATTACCTGAAGTATTGCCCCGCCCTCCATATCATGTGATTCAGGTGCTCCAATCCCCTCCCAATCATGTGATTCAGGTGTTCCAATCCCCTCCCAATCATGTGATTCAGGTGTTCCCATCCCCTCCATATCATGTGATTCAGGTGCTCCAATCCCCTCCCAATCATGTGATTCAGGTGTTCCAATCCCCTCCCAATCATGTGATTCAGGTGTTCCCATCCCCTCCATATCATGTGATTCAGGTGCTCCAATCCCCCCCCCAATCATGTGATTCAGGTGTTCCCATCCCCTCCCAATCATGTGATTCAGGTGTTCCCATCCCCTCCATATCATGTGATTCCGGTGTTCCAATCCCCTCCCAATCATGCGATTCAGGTGTTCCAATCCCCTCCATATCATGCGATTCAGGTGTTCCAATCCCCTCCATATCATGCGATTCAGGTTTTCCAATCCCCTCCATATCATGCGATTCCGGTGTTCCAATCCCCTCCAATCATGTGATTCGGGTGTTCCAATCCCCTCATATCATGTGATTCCGGTGTTCCAATCCCCTCCCAATCATGCGATTCAGGTGTTCCAATCCCCTCCATATCATGCGATTCAGGTTTTCCAATCCCCTCCATATCATGCGATTCAGGTGTTCCAATCCCCTCCGTATCATGCGATTCAGGTGTTCCAATCCCCTCCGTATCATGTGATTCAGGTGTTCCAATCCCATATATATATATGTATTTATTTATTGCTACGTAAGTGGAGTTACCCTTTAAGTCAGGGTTCACGTCTACTGTAACAAGGTGGGGGGGGTTGGAGGATCAAAGCATTACATTTTTTTTGCTTTGGATAGAATAGAGAGATATTTAAACCCTGACAGTTCATGTTTTGCTGTTGGTGTCCCCCATTAGGGAAATCCCCCTTCACTTCCTGTCCCAGATAAGAGAGTTAGAGGAAATCATCCCATGTGAGGGGGATTCCCCGATTCTACCCCTACTCCAGTGATCTCCTCCTGCTGCTTCTGGGTCCTGTGCTCTGCTGCATCATGAACACATGTCACTCACTCACTTCTCGGCCTTGTGGCTAGGACCCTGGGGCCCAACCTGTGGCTGAGGGTCACATGCAGCCTGTGGGTACTTGCTGTGTGGCCCTTTGCAGGCCCCAGCAGCCAGTAGTGGAAGCATCCATTTGGATATAATGACAGGGATTTAGCAACCTCCAGTCACCCGTTTCATGTCTTCAGTCTCTGATTGTCTCTGACAGTTTTCTGTCTCTATTGAACATTATGTGTGTTCTTTGGAGCTGTCAGGGGCCACAGTTGAGGCCCCTAGACCTTGTAAGTTGAAAAGCACTTGGCTAAGATCAAGTGTAGTATGTATTCTTATCAGTGTCCACTAGGGGCGCTCTGCCGTCATCTGGCTGGCTGTATAGTACCTCTGTTGGCATGATGGGGGTCCTGAGGGATCTTCCCACAAGGAACAGAAACCGGTGCAGTCATTGGGTGAGGTGGGGTCCGAGGGTGATTCCCTGGTGGAGGAACCCGAGTGGTCTGGAGCCTCCTGATTTGGACTGTGCTGCCTTGTCTGGTCAGGGGCTGGAAAGGCAAAGAGCCCGCAGTGTCAATCGCCCCATGGGGGTGGGTCCAGGGTGTGGCTGAATAGCACATAGGGGTTTGGGACCCCCCACTTTGTGGGACTGCACTCGGCCACAACACTACAGCTTTCTTCTGCACCTCTCCTCGCGGCCGAGACCAAAGTATTGTATTACTGGGCCACAAGGTGTAAGCCCTGCACAGCCACCATTCATTTCTTTTATTTGTTTCTCTTTTCACATCACTTATTGCCCCAAGTATTGCCCCCTCCCGTTTATACACCATATTGCCCCAAGTATTGTCCCCGCCCTCCCCCGTATATACACTATATTGCCCCAAGTATTGTCCCCGCCCCCCCCTGTATATACACTATATTGCCCCAAGTATTGTCCCCGCCCCCCTGTAATATACACTATATTGCCCCAAGTATTGCCCCCTCCCGTTTATACACCATATTGCCCAAGTATTGTCCCCGCCCTCCCCCCCGTATATACACCCTATATTGCCCCAAGTATTGTCCCCGCCCCCCCCGTATATACACTATATTGCCCCAAGTATTGTCCCCGCCCCCTCTGTATATACACCATATTGCCCCAAGTATTGCCCCCCCATTATATACACTATATTGCCCCAAGTATTGTCCCCGCCCCCGTATATACACTATAATTGCCCCAAGTATTGTCCCCGCCCCCCCCAAATATACACTATATTGCCCCAAAGTATTGTCCCCGCCCCCCAACTATATACACTATGTTGCCCCAAGTATTGTCCCCGCCCCCCCGTATATACACTATATTGCCCCAAGTATTGTCCCCCCCCGTATATACACTATATTGCCCCAAGTATTGTCCCCCCCCGTAAATCTCTATATTGCCCCAAGTATTGTCCCCCCCCCCGTATACACTATATTGCCCCAAGTATTGTCCCCGCCCCCCCGTATATACACCATATTGCCCCAAGTATTGTCCCCGCCCCCCGTATATACACACCAAATATTGCCCCAAGTATTGTCCCTCCCCCCCCGTATATACACTATATTGCCCCAAGTATTGTCCCCCCCCCGTAAATACTCTATATTGCCCCAAGTATTGTCCCCCCCCCCCCGTAATATACACTATATTGCCCCAAGTATTGTCCCCACCCCCCCCCGTATATACACCATATTGCCCCAAGTATTGTCCCTCCCCCCCGTATATACACTATATTGCCCCAAGTATTGTCCCCCCCCCCGTAAATACTCTATATTGCCCCAAGTATTGTCCCCGCCCCCCCCCCAAGTATATACACTATATTGCCCCAAGTATAGTCCCCGCCCCCCTGTATATACACTATATTGCCCCAAGTATTGTCCCCCCCAAAGTATTGGTCCCCCCCGTATATACACTATATTGCCCCAAGTATTGTCCCCGCCCCCCTTATATACGCCCCAAGTCCCTGTATATACACTATATTGCCCCAAGTATTGTCCCCGCCCCCGGTATATACACCATATTGCCCCAAGTATTGTCCCCGCCCCCCCTGTATATACACTATATTTGCCCCAAGTATTGTCCCCGCCCCTCTGTATATACACCATACTGCCCCAAGTATTGCCCCCACCCCCCGTATATACACTATATTGCCCCAAGTATTGTCCCCGCCCCCCCATATATACACTATATTGCCCCAAGTATTGTCCCCCCCCCCCCAACTATATACACTATGTTGCCCCAAGCATTGTCCCCGCCCCCCCCCACTCTCCCGTATATACACTATATTGCCCCAAGTTTTGTCCCCCCCCGTATATACACTATATTGCCCCAGTATTGTCCCCCCCCCCCAACTATATACACTATGTTGCCCCAAGTATTTGTCCCCGCCCCCCCGTATATACACCATATTGCCCCAAGTATTGTCCCCCCCCCGTATATACACCATATTGCCCCAAGTATTGTCCCCGCCCCCCGTATATACACCATATTGCCCCAAGTATTGTCCCCCCCCGTAAATACACTATATTGCCCCAAGTATTGTCCCCCCCCCCCGTATATACACTATATTGCCCCAAGTATTGTCCCCCGCCCCCCGTATATACACTATATTGCCCCAAGTATTGTCCCCACCCCCCCCCCCATATATACACTATATTGCCCCAAGTATTGTCCCCGCCCCCCCATATATACACTATATTGCCCCAAGTATTGCCCCCGCCCTTCCTGTATATACACTATATTGCCCCAAGTATTGGGCCGCCGGCTTTTCCCCGCACATGACCTTTAATGGCCCCCAGTCTTAGTCCGTAGGGTTCAATATTGAGTTGGCCCCGCCCTTTCCACACACATGACCTTTAATGGCCCCCCAGTCTCAGTCCGTAGGGTTCAATATTGAGTTGGCCCCGCCCTTTGCCTCTTCTGGGAAGGCCGTCCACAAGGTTTAGGAGGGTGTCTATGGGAAGGTTGGACCATTCTTCCAGAAGCACATTTGTCAGGTCAGGCACTGATGTCGGGGGAGGAGGCCTGGCTCGCAGTCTCCGCTCTAATTCATCCCAAAGGTGTTCTATGGGGTTGAGGTCAGGACTCTGTGCAGGACAGTCAAGTTCCTCCACCCCAAACTGGCTCCTCCATGTCTTTATGGACCTTGCTTTGTGCACTGGGGGGCAGTCATGTTGGAACAGGAAGGGGCCATCCCCAAACTCCTCCCACAAAGTTGGGGGCATGAAATTGTCCAAAATGTTGCCTTAAGAGTTCCCTTCACTGGAACTAGGGGGCCAAGCCCAACCACTGAAAAACAACCCCCACACCATAATCCCCCCCTCCACCAAACTTTACACTTGGCACAATGCAGTCAGGCAAGTACCGTTCTCCTGGCCACCACCAAACCCAGACATGTCCATCGGATTGCCAGACAGAGAAGTGTAATTGGTCACTCCAGAGAACACGTCTCCACTGCTCTAGAGTCCAGTGGCAGCGTGCTTTACACCACGGCATCCGACGCTTTACATTGCACTTGGTGATGGAAGGCTTGGATGCAGCTGCTCGGCCATGGAAACCCATTCCATGAAGCTCTCTACGCTCTGTTGTTGGGCTCATCTGAAGGCCACACCAAGTTTGGAGGTCTTTAGCTATTGACTCTGCAGACAGTTGGTGACTTCTGCGCACTGTGCGCTTCAGCATGCGCTGACCCCGCCCTGTCATGTGACGTGGCCTACCACTTGGTGGCTGAGTTGCTGTTGTTCCCAGTTGCTTCCACTTTGTTATAATCCCACTAACAGTTGAGCGTGGAATATTTAGTAGCCAGGAAATGTCACGGATGGACTTATTGCCCAGGTGGCCACCTATCACAGGACCACGCTTGGAGTCACTGAGATCCTGAGAGCGACCCATTCTTTCACCAATGTTTGTAGAAGCAGTCTGCATGCCTAGGGGCTTGATTGTATACACCTGTGTCCATGGAGGGGATTGGAGCACCTGAATCACATGATATGGAGGGGATTGGAACACCTGAATCACATGACATGGAGGGGATTGGAACACCTGAATCACATGATATGGAGGGGATTGGAACACCTGAATCACATGATTTGGAGGGGATTGGAACCCCTGAATCACATGATTTGGAGGGGATTGGAACACCTGAATCACAGGATATGGAGGGGATTGGAACACCTGAATCACAGGATATGGAGGGGATTGGAACACCTGAATCACATGATATGGAGGGATTGGAACACCTGAATCACATGATATGGAGGGGATTGGAACACCTGAATCACATCATGTAAATGACCTTTCCCTGGTGTGGATGTCCAAGGAGCGACTCCACTAGAGAGTCCACTAGACTTCACCTAGAATTTTAATGCTGCTTTTGGGTGGGCCACTCCTTTAGGCCCCTCTTTGACCTATTTGTTACAGTAGCATGCAGTAAAACTTTTTCCCACACCTTATCACAATGCATGGCTATGTGCCGCACTCTTTGTTTTATTTTTTAGCACTTCTTACCAA